AATCTAGACAACAACAAAAATCTTGCCATGTACGATTGTTGAGCTCGCGCGCTGCAAAAGCCACAGGACACGCAAGTGGTGGGGCCTGTCTAGCTCTGCAACGATAGCTATGGCGAAGTCTTCACAATTTGGATTCCAAACCTCAGCGCTCGTAACCAACAGTACTACCTGGAAACAAAGCTAGTTCATCAGCCGGTTGTTTTATTGCAGCATGGCCAATACGTTGCTGCTATACCTGAGTCGACGCCTTGGTGGAGACAATTCAAAGCACAAAAGTCGCAGGGGTAAGGGTCCCCTTCGTGTCTTTCACCTATGTCAAGAGACAGTCGTTTACCAAGTCAAGCTTGGCTTCTTACTGCGTGCGACACATGCGGCGGCAATATCCAGGAGAACGCTCACGCCTCTGCAGCCAAGCCAGCTGGAGCAAATGTTAGTAGACAGGACTCATGACTAGCACACAGGACGCCTGAACTTCGCGTCAGTGTCCGGAGATCACGGTAAAGGCGAAACGGACTGACCTTGTGCCTCCTCGAGCCGGATAGTCAGAGGCATGTCAGCAATCGTCCATTCTCACTCTCGGCGCTCGCGAAACTGCCGGGTAGAAGCATGCATGCAATTCGTCGATGCCAGAGTACAGCTCCGAGTAAAACACGGCAAACATCTGAAGGTCTGAGAGGAATCCGCCGTTCTCAGAATTAATATGGTGCCAAGCAAGCGATGCATCAGCCTAGACACCGTTGGTGTCCGTTGGGACCTCGCGGAGGGCGTAGCTTGAGTCAAAGTGGTCTGCGGCCCTGCTGACATAGCCGAGGAAGACTGCACACCCTCGTCAGCCGTTGCTACATCCGTGACAGAAACGGGCGCACCATCAAAGTTCTGCTGGACAAAGGCAATTCGCTAGCAGAGGTGCGTCGCACACGGGTCGGTGTTTCTGCCGCCGGTCTCGGTGTTGAACGCACAGTGGCCACGCAAGTAGGTCGCAAGCAGGCCAAAGCCATCGTCAATGTTGCTGGTCACGCAGTCCATTAGCATCCATCTCGAGCAAGTCCGGCGAAGAACGTGCCAGTGGTCTGACTCGAGGTGCTTGTGGGCGCAGAAGGTGAGGTTTCCGACTCAAGGTGCTTGTGGGCGCAGAAGACGAGGTTTGTGAAGTCCATTGCCGAGGGCAGACATGGAGCCGTCTGAGATGAAGGTCTCGGCGGATGTGTAGTCATTGCCCGGGAGCGGGATCAGCTGCGTCGCTGCGCCTGCCTGGCGGGTGGCGGTAACAGCGGCCTGGATAGATCTCACCCAGATATTGATGTCAGGGATATCATGGGCTCGATCATGCTAACACAGAATGAACGTCCGAGTCAGGATGAAGGACACTGAGACGACTTACACTCCGAAAATGATCTGGTCATTGTCGACGTATTAGCTTGCGATACTGCCCCAGAGTGAAGCGAAGATCTCATTGCTTGGAGCACTTTGGCCGATAATCTAAAAGTAGACGTCAGTTCAGGGAGTACAATATAACGCGGAGAACACAAGTCACCTACCCATTCCAGCGAGCATAGCTGTGCACATTGACGATGCAGCTTGCGTCGGTAGCCAAGAAAGCCTGGATAAGGCTATTGCGCTCCTAGAAGTTATCCTCACTGAGTGTGTCAGCCGTCGAGTGTGTCAGTGAGCACGCCGTCGGTGAGGAACTGCCAGCCGACAGGGTGACAGAAGACGCCGAAGCTGTCGTCGTCGAAAGCGCTGCATCTTTATTGTGCCATCGTAGCCGCGGTGCTCGAGCAGAATAGACCACGTGCTGTTGGCCATGCGCGAGCCGTCCATGCTGCAGCCAAAGTCGAGACCGGCGATGCTAACACCCGCAAAACGCAGACGATCGGCACTGGGCGGTGCGCCGCTAGAGGGCGCAGGAGAACTGTGCGTCGCATTTCCGCTTGGTGGAGCTGAGGAGGAGGAGCCGGTAATGTGCTGGGAGTGGGCCGAAAGATACTGCGAGCCATAAGGTCATAAGCAACTGGAGAAGTTTTCTTATAATTGTTGGTGGCGGTGCGGACGATACCAGGGACACAGGTCGTGGAGCCGGCGAAGCCCTCGCGCAGAATAAAGATTCAAGCACTTGCACGAATTTCAGGCAGATATACAATATCGCTGCCTAATTATTGTGGTGAGCCAGCGTTGGCTTCGACCGCGGAACCAACCCACTTACATTTGTTGCCACTCTTGGGCCAAGCCGCAAGTCACGGCGATCCAGGGGGTATGCAGAGGAATTGCGTACGTGATTTTCGTATTGCTACGCCCTGGCACTGGCTAGTCCGTGTCTAGAATTGACATCCCCACCATCCCCGGAAAGGTTCTGTGCGCCATCTCGCATAGATGATTCATTCGATCACATGCTCTTCTTAGGACATGCTCCCTCACATGACAACAAAATAAGCGTATCTGTTGTTATTCTCGTCGAATCAAGTGCGGCCAAACAAATGGCGGAAGGCGGCAAGGGACGACTTCCGCACCTACGAACCGACATCAGATCGACGGGAACGTTGAACATTGTCCGTAATGTTTGACGTACATCTTACAGAATACAGCATGCAGCTGTCTCAGAGAGAATATTAAGCAGGATATTCGGGTGTACAGTATATGGCCCATCTTCGCCTCAACACCGGTCGGTGTACAGGAAGGCGTAAAGGGGCCGCAGAGATGTCCGTCGGTGATAACGACCCGAGCAAGCAGGAGTTTTCCAACAGATATCCGGGCAGATTGACTGCAGCTTGCAGAAAGATAGTCTTTTGGCGAAGGGTATGTCAGAACCGCAACGCTGTAAGTGCTGGCATGTGATCGCGATTCGGGCGCCAGGTGTACCAGACGCCCAATATATGTACCATCTCGCCAGCCGCCGTCGTCCCAAGAACTCCCTCTACTGCCATCTCGTGCTCGTGAAGCACATCGTTGTGAAATCTCTCATGCAGCCCCTCGCTTGTTTCGCAGCCACCCACCCAGACGGGCATCAACGTCAACGACGCGGCTACATCTGGGCGGACCTGAGCTGAACCTGAGCATAGGCGGTACGCACCAGGAGAGCAGTATGCCACTGGACCCAGGGAGCCAAGGTGCGTGGTTATATTCTGACCTGTGCGCTTTTCTTGCTAAATTTAGCTACGACCTCGCACAGCGCACGTTCTGCAACTGCCACTCCTGCTTGCTAGGAAGCACTTACGTCACGACAACACGGGAATCGCCCTCCTGCGTCGAGTTCACTGAGAACCGTCCTTCTGCCAGCGTGCCATCGCGCCAACGAACCGCTGGCACTATTTGAAGCACTGTGTATGTCCTCTTCTGCCCGTTCATGCACGCAATACGTCTCATTCTCGGCTACAGACTACGTCAAGAGTCCCGACAGCCTGCTGGCCTCCTTGCACTCGGCCTCGTGAATCAATCACACGCACAAGCCTCACAGCTACGGTTCTGTAGGGAATATGTTGTCTTGGTAAGTCTTTTTGCCCCTTGACTACTGCCACCATTCTCACTGCGGCCTCAGGCTGCCCTGCAGATCTGCATATACTAGCACTCGATGGTCACGATTGCCGCGTTAGCGATGCATCGCTCGGCTGCTCGACCTGATCAGCCGACTTCGATCTCCAAGCCCCACACTCGCGTCCCTCTCGGTCTGCGCTCTCGCTTTGGACCGCGGTCACCAGACGGCAAGGATGTCAATATCAACAGGACAGGGAGGGCGTCTCCGAGGGCGACGACCACCGCGTACTTATGCTGGGGTCATATTCGGTCTTGACTCACTTGTCCGAAGCTTTCATCCAATAGACATTGGCGGGGTGTAGTCCGGTCTTTCGCGAGCCTCGCTGATGCAGCGGCTCGCGCATATGTACCTAGCCCGAAGCACAATGAGAATAGTTTGCCACCGCCGTTTCATGCGACGAGGCCCATGACAGTCGCCGTCCGGTGCAATTTGGGTACAATACTCGCTGACTAAACGTACAGTTGGTTCAGTTCGGATATCACATAGCTACTTGTCAGCCAGGTGCGCTCTGCAGGTGCTTTTGTGCTCACCGGTCATTGCTGAAATACGATTGAACACAATAACCATTAGGGCCGACTGATCCAAAATCAGGCTACCATATCGAGCCGGAACATAAAATACTTATCTTCTTTTCACACATCGCCTGCTGCCTCAAGCCTTGTCATAATCCCTGCACGGCTTTTACAGCAGCGGTATAGCCTCGTCGTCCTACACATACGTCTCGGCTTACTCTTAGGCGTGAAAAAGACTTATGGAATCCCTACACCGCTGCAGTGTCCAGCAAGCTTTCATGCGACATACTAGTTACGAGGCGAAGAGCCCGCCGGCTATGACGAACTCTGCCAGTTGAGTCCGCAATGCACGTCTTGTGTCCTCGGTCATGCCCGTTACAGACCATCTCACGTTTTCGAACCTCGCAGGTCCCCTTGGCACACCGTTCAGCCTGGCTATTCAAGTTAGTTCCGACGGCTTGCGCTTATCGACACGTACAGCGGGCAGGTGAGAAAGGAAGTGACGTACGCCGTGTATAAGCTTACGTGGAGAATGTGTATCGCGAAGACGCGGAGCTAAACGATCCCCGCACGTGCTCACATCACGCTTGCCGCATGGACAAGTATTCATGCGCAACCCGAGATCGTATTCCCCGCATTCAATGAGGTCCCTTCTGCCTGCTACCTTCAGAACATGCATCAGCAAAGCTGGGCATTCCCACCAGGCGTCCCAGGTCTCTTGAGAAGCTTGTTCGCGAGCGCGCAATTGTTTGGTTTCGCCTTGGACAAGTCAACTCACAAAGCTTACGCTTCACGCCTCCAATCGTACGTCTCCTTCTGCGATGCCCATTATTTTCCACTCGATCTGTAGACTCGCCAGTCATGTCCTATGGTGGATAGATAGCCATGGTTCGATTTCGGCATGGAAGCCGGGGTGCCGTCCGTGAGTAGTGACATATCCGTGAAGCCTCTCTCGTCTTATGCGAATCGTCCGAGTGTCCGGTGTCCCTCCATTGCTGCACACTCCCTGTGACACTCGCCGTGACTAGCCATCACCGGCACCTCGGCAGATCGTCCCCTGCGCCGAGACATTGAACCATGGCTATCTATCCACCGTAATGTCCCGGTCGCTGCGTTCCGTGAGGACCACGTGCGTCTTAATTACACCCCCGTCGTTTGAGTACATGTCTCACTTTATCAAGCCCGGCTCGGTCGAGACCCGCTGTTCGGGCATCTGCAGCCAGCTTGAACCTTTCTATCCTGCGGTCGCGGCTCGCCACGCGCTGTTTTGCTGGCTGCTGTCAGACATCGACTTTGCGTCGACGAACGAAACTCACCGCGCAGCGCACGGACCAGCGCGTGGGAAGGTAGCGCAATGCGTCGTCTGTTCTGCGAGTCCGTCGGAAGCAAAGTGCGACGTTCTCGAACCAGACGGAGGCGGATTGTAGGGACCACCCTCGAATGCGAGGATCAAAACGAAGGTAAACGGCCTGAGAATATATAGGTAGTAGCCCGTAGAGAATTAGAGTAGAGAGACCTTGCCCCGCAACGTGTGTTTTCCTTCTCGGCTACGTCAGTAGTAGTACCTGAGATATATACCTGTTGTTTGCCCGCAGCTCTTGAGTGCCCATCCAACTGAAGTTCTCTTGGTGAGAACGGGCAGCGTTCGCCCTCTAAGTTGTCTGCCGGATACGCAGCAAGTCCCACCGTCACTAACTTTGCATTCATCGACACCGACTCGCTACTCTCCCTCCCTCAAATCGCACGAACGCCGAGATAGCTCGACCCAACGTCGTGGTCCAGTGAACCTCGGAGGAACGCGCCGCGCTCGATTCTCGAGCGCTCTCATATACAAACTATTTCCTGTACGACACTGCGAGAAGCAGTTCAAAACGCCGAAGACCCTCAACCCCGGAGGATCTCCTGTCGGTCAAGTCGAGCGTGGATCTCTGAGTCATGACGATCTCTTGTTTGTCACCTTGGCGTTCGTTAGGTTTTTTGGACTGCACCGTGAACTCGTTTTGCCCGACGATGTCTCTCTTCGCTCCTCCTGCATTGAAGCTGATCCGTCGACGCTCTGTCTCTACCAACACCACAAGTTTTAGTCGCGTTCTGCTTGCGCACAAGGCGGACCGTTACTTTGCTAGCTCTGAGGCTATTTTCGCGCGCAGGACTGACGGCATTGATCCTACAGCGCCCTTTTCTCTCCTACCTTGCGTCGCGTGGCGTGCCTATCCCGTTCGAGTCTCGTTCTTGAAACAGGACGGATTGGCGGTGTCCATGCGCTCCTCTGTCTCAACTGCGCTCGGTGATATTAGTGGATGCTTTCCCGTAAGCAATCTGAAGATACAGATGAACACTAAATCGAAGCTTCAATGATTTGTTCGTCTGATTCTGTACAAGCTGTAAAACCATAACGCCTTTGTACCTGTTTATCACATTTGAATAGGTATAGGTCAGAGTTTAAAATTAATTTTACCTTCAATGTGCGCGTTCTGAGTCCTCGCTACAGGCCTCAGCCACCTCTTCCTACTGCAGGAGACCAAAAATGCTATTCACAGCAGCCTTACTGCATTTCATATGCTACAATAGCCCATGTAATCGTGGATGCCAGTGGGGAGCGTGCAGCTGCCATCGTCTACAATCGAAACCGCCTTTGTCGCCCCGACCTTCACGTCTGCATACAGTTTCGTTAGCAAAAATAACCACCTAAAATCGTATGCATTTATCATACCTTGATATTTTAGCATTTAGCTGGCGCTCGTCCTGGTATACGGAGGTTAGAGGAGGTGGGATACAAATGACACGGCGCGAGCACAGCGTGAAGCGGGGTGGACGCTCATTAAGCACTTTTATCGGAGTTAAAAGCAGTCTGTATAGCCTGATTTTGCAGGCTACCGAAGAAACGATAGACCGCTACTATGCTCGTTTGAGGTTCACACTTGGAGGCTCCACCTGCTCCGCCGCCGCAGTAGATCTTAGAGATTCGGTGTCTTAGATGCCGCCTGGGTGACCTGATGAGCCTGCCTACCGTCCAGACTTTGCCCAGCATGCTACCCGGTAGCTGGCAGTATATCTCAGTCCAGTAATATCTGTCACTCAGGTACAGATGTTTGGGATGTCCGTGGACCGCTTCTCCACGAATTTCTCTTTTGGAGTTTTGTTTACTTTCAGAGCTGACATGGAGCAGAACAAACAACTAGACAAAACTTTGCACGCGAGTGTTTGCCTAGTCTCGTTTCCATCCGCTCTTAACTCCGACGTGTAAACACTGTCGGCCAGTGCATCGGACTTTGAAAGCAAAGTGCACTGGCTCGTTAGAGCGTCTGGTCCACTTGGATCATCCGGGGGGGTCTCGTCCGCACGTGACTGACGCGCACACATACCGCGCCCGTAGCCTGCCGTTGGCGGCTATTTGGGCTGCAGTGGTACTCTCCGTTGCAGGGGGCTTATAAAAACACAAATGTACTCAAGAATATATCAGAGGCACTTTTACATATATGTCTGACTGCATACACGAACGCCTTACTCATCACCAGCAACTTGGCGGTGCGCAGGCGGTCACTTCCTCAGGGAGCGTGTAGATCACGTGCGAATGAGGCCCCCCCGGATGATCCAAGTGGACCAGACATTCTAGCGAGAGACTGCACATCACCATTGATGTCCGACGCAGTCTCCGACCGGCGAAGTCCGGGCGCGCTAGAATGGCTGGGGACGAGACTAGTGTTTGCCTAATTGAGTGACGGCTTCGCCGGCTCCATTCGGGCATGGCAACGCACCCGCTTTCATTGTACAACCTGTGCTGATGCAGTGAAAATTGGCCGCATACTGTTTCTTTAGTGGCCGGGGCCGACCCTCCCCCTTCAGATCGGCCATCTGCAGCCGCGTCCGCTGTTCCGACACAACGGCTCCGCTGACATGCCGGATATGCCGAGCTCGTTTTGATCTAAAATCTGATCTGTAAACCGTTACAGATCCTCATCTCCTTGGCGGTCTCTCTCTGCGCTCTAATGGGGGCCACCTTCCTGGCATATGTCTGATGGGCTCCAAGCGCGGGTTTCCAAGGATGTATACCTCACAGTGGTGCTCCAGATGATCAACGATCCAGACAAGATCGCGCTTCGTCCGCCTGTTAAGATAAATGCGGGACCAAGGTCTGTCAGCCTTGCCTTTGAGTTTATCGTAGGAGGATTGTAACGCCGGACGAAGAAGCGGCTGGACATTGATTTCCCAGTTGGTCCAGCCGAGCAGCCTCTGCCATTCATGCAGTGCACGGCGGCGATCGTCAGACGTGGTGAATGCATGAATTAATGGCACCGACAGGTTCTGTCAAGTTCCAGCCGTTTGGTCTCGGGAAGCGTAATTGTCATCGTGACAGCATCGACATTAAACCCGATGATGGGCAGGAACCGATTGAAGAGTTGTTTCTATGCGCGCCTTCAACCCATCAGAGTGGAGGGTGCCAAGAGAAGGCGAACCTGTTTCGGGGGCATGAGATGTTTATACGGTGCATAATACATGAGATACAAGAATGTCGGAGGAGACGTGGAATCGACTAGGATCAGCTTCAGCTTGGCTGCAGCTCGACGATGGAACCACCACAACGCGACAAGACAGTCCAGCCGATGTCAAGCACCCAGTTCGACCTCGAGGCTCAAGCACAAGACTCGATTCCACCCCCAAGAACTCCTACTCCAAGCGTACGGACCAAAGGCTCCTCAGTGGGGACCGCTTTGGTACGAACATGGACAGAGGGGAGCGAAAAGCAGACGGGCAGCGCGAAGGATAGCGAGCCTAGCCTTGCAATGCCGTGGCTAGATGCACGGCCTACTCTGCAGCATCCAGCGAGTCCTCCGGATGAACAGAACGCATTACTTGCTTTGCCCCCTCCGCCTTCGTACGACGTCGTCGTCACCAACCTCTCCATTGCCATTCCTACATTCTGCGCACACATCCCCACGCCCATCCCAATCCCCATTCCTCGGGCTGTCACCGACACTGTCCGCAGATGGAACTCGAAGGATAAAGAGTCTAACGCGAATGTCACTGGCAGCGCCGGCGACGGGCTCATCATCCGCAATGTTAACGCCGTCGTCCACCGCGGAGAGGTCATGGCCATCATCGGCGGGTCTGGGTCGGGGAAAACAACGCTGCTGCACGCTATGGCTGCCCGACTCAGGGATCTACCCATCGCCGAGGGACATGTTTCGATCACTCCGTCTCACAGCGGGGGACAAGATGGTGCGCACCCTAAGGGCGGCGAGGGTCACTTCAAAGGCATGAGCAAGGTCGTCGGTTTCGTGAAACAGCACGACTACCTTCTGCCTCATCTTACGGGTGCGTCCAGTTCGTAGCTGATTACGTCGAGTGGCATGTCCTGATTGTGCCACAACAGTCAGAGAGACATTGACCTATGCCGCAAAGTTGCGGTTGCCTTCTTCTGTCGACAGCGAAACAAGACGCCTGATCGTCGAACAAACGATTCAAGAGCTCGGTCTTGCAGATGCCGCGAACACGATGGTAGGCGGCGCAGGCCGGAAGGGGATCTCCGGTGGGGAAAAGCGTCGGCTGTCTATTGGCTGTGTCCTTGTTAGTTTCCCATCCGTGATTATTCTCGATGAGGTTACGACCGGTCTCGGTGAGTTGGGTCTTGCTCGCCACGCTGAGGCTGTCTGACATTTTTCTTTCGAAGATTCATTCACCGCGTTCCAGCTCCTTGAGACCCTTGATCGCCTAGCGAAACGCGGGCGTACAGTCATTCTGTCGCTGCACCAGCCGCGATCCGACGCCTTCACGCTATTTTCCCGTATTCTTCTAATGTCGCATGGATCAGTCGTCTACTCTGGTCGCACAGGAGACTGTCTACCCTATTTCTCTCAGCTCGGCTTCCAGCCCTCGGAACGGACCAATCCGCTCGATTTCTTGATCGACGTCTCGAGCATTGACACACGGGACGAAGACAACGAGCGCGAGAGCAAAGAACGCCTCAATCGGCTTGTCCAGTGCTGGAGGGAGAAGGAGGCTATTGATGCCGAGAGGAACGTGCGAGACGCTCGTGGTCGCACATCAAACTGCCTATCTCACTTCTTACAACTCGGCTACCAGCACCCGGAACGCGCCAATCCGCTCGATGTCCGGACCGACGCCTCCATCGTTGACATACGGGACGAAGACAATGAGTGCGAGAGCAAAGAGCTCCGCCTTGATCAGCCTGTGCAGTACTGGGGGGAGAAGGAGACTATTGATGCCGAGAAAGACGTGTTAGGCGGCCCGCCGTTCCCTGGACTCGGAGCTTCTTCTACGACGCTAGACTCAGAGAAGCCGGCTGTCCATGTGTCTCCGACAACAACGACCAGCAAGCGTCCCAATGTACTCCAACAAACTACTATCCTCGTTCCCCGCGCATTTCGTAACATGACCCGCGGTTATCTGGAACTTGTTGGGCACTTCCTGCAGGCCATCCTCGTGGGTTTACTCATGGGCGTCACTTACTTCCAGCTTGGCGACCAGCCGAACGACATTCAGAGCCTGAAGAGCCTCGCATTTCAGGTGGTGCCAGCATACGCCTATTTGACTCAGATCGTTTGGACGTTCAAATGGTGCAATTCACTCGTCGTCTTCGACCGGGAACAAGAAGACAGCTTGTATTCGCCTGTGGCGTGGATTCTGTCTGAATTCATTGCGTGGCTGCCCATGAACGTCATTGCCCCCTCTATATTCTCGATCTTGGTTTACTTCATCTCCAACATGCGTCGAGACGATCTACATTACAACCTCGGCATATTCATCATCGATATGGTCTTGGTCCAACTTTCCCGAATCGCGTGGTCGCTGTTTTCAGCTAGCATCGAGGTGAACTACATACACCATCCTGTCGCACACTCCACACTGATTTTGTGATGTAGCGTAGCTTCGCACGGGCATCAGTTCTCGGGAACGTTCCTTCCATCTTCTTCAGCCTTTCCCCAGGCTACTTGGTCGTCAACGTCCCAGGCTGGATTCGCTGGTTCCGCTGGATCTCCCCTCACTTCTTCTCCTTCCGCATCGTCGTCATCTCCCAGTTCCGCAACCGCACATTCTCCTGCCAAGGCGTCACCGGCCCCGCACTCGCACAGTGCTCGGGCAACAACGTGCTCCGTGGCCTGCGCATCTCACCCACGGAGCCACTGTGGCCGATGTTCCTCGGCAACCTGGGATTCCTGCTTGTCATCACAGCCTTCTCGTGCTTCTTGCTTACGGTGTGGAAGCCCGGCGGTGCGCGACACGCGCAGCGCGTTGCGAGCGATGTCAAGGGCAAAGAGATCAGCGAGGCGGAGATCGACATCGTGCGGGCGCGCGTCGACGTCACCGCCGAGCACGTCGGACTCTTCCATGTCCGCCGGACGCTTCCATCGTTCAAGCGCGTCGAGACGCCGATCCTGGCAGATGTTAGTGCGCGGTTTCCGAGCGGTGAGGTATCGGTGATCATGGGACCCAGCGGGTCGGGGAAGAGTACGTTCCTGCGGATGTGTGCTGGGTGGCCGATAAAGGGTGGGCTACTTAGCTCGTTTGAGGGGCATGGAGAGATCAAGCTCAATGGTGTACCTGTATCGAGCCGCACAAGACATATATGTGCCTTCGTAGAGCAAGGTACGTGAATAGATTACATTGGCGTTCTTGTGTCCGTTGTGCTGACGGGAAGATGCAGACGACGACTATCACCTGCCAGCGTTGACCGTACGAGAGACGCTCCGGTTCGCGGCGATGATCAAGCTGCCCAGCACAGTCAGTCGCAAGCACAAGATCGCTCGTGCGGAAGAAGTTCTGAGGATGCTCGGTCTTCGGGACTGTGCTGATGGAATGGTCGGCGGCGAGTTACTGAAGGGGATATCGGGTGGAGAGAAGCGCAGGCTATCGTTAGCGTGTCAAATGGTACAGTCTTTGGTGCGTTCGCCGTCGTATGACATGCTGATGGAAGGTTGGATAGATCAATGACCCCGCGGTACTCATTATTGACGAACCCGTATGCACATCCTTTGCCTTCGGCGGTCAAATGATCGTGTCTGATAGACTGGGCAGACCAGCGGTCTGGATGCCAACACAGCGCGAAACGTGATGGAAGCCCTTCAGGGTATCGCCCGCAGTGGGTGAGTCTCAAGGTGTATACAGCGTCGAGACCATTCTAAACTTTTTTATTTTTATTTTTCAGGCGGACTGTGATAGCATCCCTGCACCAGCCCCGCAGCGACATCTATAACATGGTCGATAACTTCGTAGTTCTAGCCAAGGTATTATTATCTTGGTGAAATAGTGCTTGGTTTCATTTTCTGATCGGCGGCCAATGCAGCAAGGGAACGTTGTCTATCAAGGTCCTCGAGAGCAACTACTTCCCCATTTTGCGTTGGTAGGCTACGTCTGCCCTCCGTTCTACAATCCGTCGGACTATTGTATGGATTTAATCTCGGTCGACGTACGTGGACAAGCTAGGCAAGAACAGACTTCGGCTCGTGTCAAGTTCTTGGTCGAGTCCTGGAAGACCCGACAAGACAAAATGCTTGATTACGCAGCTAGCAAATCCGCCACCTCCAAAGAAGCAGTCGCCGACATACCTATAGAGCTAGAAGATCGTCCGGAGTACACGCCCATATGGATTGCACTTCCTGTCGTCCTCGATCGAACATTCCGCAACAGCTGGAGACAGCCGGATATCTTCTGGACCAGGTGGACCCAGGCCCCGATCCTAGCTATCTGTTTCTTCTTATTCTTCCTGCGACTGTCCAACGGTCCAACGGGTGCTCAAGACCGCATTGGTCTGGTTGAAGAATGTACCACCACGCTTGCTTATGCCGGCTTCGCTAACTTGGCTGCACTCTACCCGATGGAGAAGACCGTCTTCTTCCACGACTACAAATCGGCTGGTGGGCGGTATTCGAGCGCCACATTTATCACGGCATTCACCATCTTCGCTATCGTCCCTGAGTTCATCTCCGCCCTTCTGTTTTCCGTCATCATGAACGTCGCTACGGGTATGCAAAGCAACGCACGGATCTACTTCGAATTTACTGTTTCTGTCTGGATACAGCTCAGCTTCGGCGAGAGTGTCGGTATCGCCTTCGCGTCGTTCTTCGACACCATGGGCCTTTCCATGTCCCTCGTCTCCGTCTTCCTCGTTGTCGGCTCGCAGGCTAGCAGCATCCTTTCCGCGTCGATTGCTAGATTTCTCCAGGATATTGCGTGGATCTTCCCGATGAAGTACGGAGCGCGAACGCAGCTCATCAACGAGATGCAGGGAAAGGTGTTCAACTGTCCGCCAGATACCATTACGAACGGCGAGTGTACTGCCGCGACTGGACAGCAAGTGTTGGACTTGTTCGGATTCCATGCTAGCACTTGGCACCTTGTCCTTATATCCATCGCAGTCATTATAGGATACCGCGTTGCCACCTGGGGTATCCTATCTGTGAGGTGAGTATGTTTGTTGGTGCACACGGATTTTGCTAATGTGCTTGCACGTGTAGAATGCGCTATATTTGATACCTCTAGCCTATCCTTACATTAACTTTGACCCCTATCTAGCCTTCTTCAGCAAGACTGAGACTGAGCGCATTACTTTCTATTCATAATCAAATCACCTTGATACCGTAGTATATTACACACTGTATACCCAAATTGCATACTAGGCTGGAGTTGATTGATCGTGTTATTGTTATCCATGTGTTATTTTACGCCAGTCGACCTCCAAAGGCTACAGCGATGTGCGCTATGTAGTGAAATCTAGACTATAAATCCCCAAGAGCCCTGAAAAGTTAAAACCGTGACAGCATGTGATACGACGCAAGTTCGCTATCTCCTTCAGATATCTATCCATCTACAACCGCGTATGCCGGGGTCATATCTGGCCTTAACTCACTTGTACTGATCGGCAGAAGCTCTCATCCTATGGAGATCAGCAGGGTGTAGTCAGGTCTTTCGCGAGCCTCGCTGATACTGCAGTAGCGGATCGCGCATATGTACCTAGCCCAGGAGTACAATAGGAACCATTTGCCACTGCCGGTTCATGCGACAAGCCCCATGACCATGACAGTCGTTATCCCGTGTAACATTCGCTGGCAGTTGGTTCAGTTTGGGCGTCCTCTTGAGATTTTGCAAGTCCCCGTCCCCGCCCTGTAGCCTGCCTGCATTGGCGACCTATTGAGACACGTGGATGTACGCTGCATTCGAGTAGCGCAACGTTGTTTTTATGCAGAGCTGGAGCCAGATGCCTACCAGTATCCTCCCCCCAAAAGTTGAAGATAAATAATAATAATAATAATAATAATAATAATAATAAATGGCGATATGGTAGCCCTGTCTTGTGCAGCGGACCTCAACGTGCAGGTATACCAGAAGTACGGTCTGGCGCTGCTAAACAAGCAGATAATGCCGTCGCCGTGGAGAGAGTGGCCGCTGTACCTCCTCTCGCTGAACACCAAGCGCTAGGTGGTAAGTGCAGTTTTTTGGCTCGCATAACCAGCCAAAAGCTAGGCGAACAAGAACCTGTGTTTAACCGGTTTTCATTCGAGAAAACTTGGAGACAAAACTTCCTTTTCCGCTAGTTTTGCGCGTTTCAGCCTCTTTTGGCCGATTTTGCACCAATTTACGCACCAATTTACCCCAATGTACAACCGGGGAACAATTGGTTCTTGTTTTCCCAATTTTGGCCGGGTTTCTTCAAGAAAAAACCGTGCTTACCACCCTGTGAAGGCTGCTGAGAGCTTCTACATAGGCGTACGCGAGATCCGTGACTTCTTAGTGCATACTGGGCTCGCGAAGCGCGTTAGACGCATCAGCAAGGTAGCTGTGTGCAAATACGACTGGTCAGCTGGCTTCTCACTATTCGTCATGCTTCTCGTCTGGCATCGTCGAGATCATCCCGGTTAGGTAGTGCTAGAACCAGGCACGCTTGGTGGCAATTACAGGGAATGCATGCACACTAGAATTACACGAGACCAGTATACAGGGCTAGATGGCGCAGAAAGCACAGCAAGATTCACGCGCACAGCGCTTCTTAGTATAATTTCCCTCAGTCCGACAGCCGCTTGCAATAATCGGGGTTGCCCACAGGATTCTACGCGCACTCATCAGCCGACCATCATATAACAAGCACAGACGAGAGAGACGCACAAGGGCCCATGTCGGGAACGGCGTGACCTTGCCGCTGCCGCCACCCACGGCGAAGGTGTAGACGAAGATCATGATCTGCGTGCCGCCGTCGAGTGCGGCGCTGAGCAGGAAGTTGTACTTGCGGAACCACGTCGCGCGGTACCGGCGTAGGTAGTATTGCGAGAAGACCGCGAGCAGGAAGGACATGAACGTTGCCGAGTTGATGCCCACGCTCAGGAAGCCGAGCTCCGCTGCACTAAACTGTCAGGGCGTGGATAGCAAGGAAAGAGACGGGTGTACGCACCGACGAGGATAGGCGTGAAGACGTGATTGAAGCCGGCGCGTGGCCATCGCTTGTGTGCGAGCCAGAGCGGGATCGGGAAGCCGAGGCCCGCGAGAAGCATGTACGGCACAAACTACACTACGTCAGCACTCCATAACCGATCTGTGAGGACGAATCGACGCACCCCATAGCGCGTACCAGTTGCGTAGAGCGGCTTACCGAGGGCGCCCCAGGCGATGGCGTCGCTGTTGTAGGACTGGACCTGCTGGCCGGACCAGATGTTGCTGCCCTGGACGTCGAGTAGCACCTCGCGATGACTTGCAATGACCGTGCGCATGATCGCGAAGTTGAGGAGCGCACCGATGATCGTCCCGATTGTCTGCACTGTGAACGTTACCCGTGGCGGGATCTTTGAGTATTGCCCCAGCTTGAGGTCACGAAGCAAGTTGAGAGACTGCAAGAGCGAGTTGTAGCCGTACAGTGTGAAGTACCTGCGTGGCGCGAGGCTGTCAGAATGGATAAAGTATGTGAGAGGAAGGGAACGCACATGTTCGCGACGGGTTTGCCGGGGACAACAGCGCCGCCGATCATCTGGATCAGGTTCTGGATGCTCGGCGCGTATCCGACCGTGCAATAGAGCGTGCCGATGATGGGGATGAAGAGCGTGCAGAAAATGAGCGCAATGAAGAGACCCCACCAAGGTAGTTGGCTCTTGGCGGTGTAACAGGTGGCGAGGGCCATGGCAACGGTGACGACAAACATGCCCATGTACCAGTACCACTTAATCTTTAATCAGGAGATGCACGAGCTGATACTGTAGGTTGCCACTCACTGGGACCTCTTTGTAGATCTTCATCTTCTGGTAGTGCGGGTCGTCTGTCTCCTTAGTCTTTAATTGCACACGTCAGCTTCTGTTCCGAACCAAGCTCCACGAGGGAGACGCACCCTCGAGTCACGAATGATCTGATACACCGTCTTGCCGTGCCACAGCAAAAAGTGCGTGAGTGCGGCGCCAATGTACATCGTGCGGCTGATCAAGTACAGGAGCTGTGACGCCGCGTACCAAGGCAGGCCTTGTTCCTCGAGCTTCTGGTAGTTAAGCGTGTAGTCTGGGTTCAGGATGCTCAGCTGGTCGTACTCCGTCCCGTTCTCGTAGAAGAGCAGCTGCGTCAGGAAAGGGAAGTTCTGCGCGTGCCAGACGTTCCGCGCATAGCATGCGCAGAACGCAACGCTACGTTTCCGGAGTCAACAGCGTGCTCGCAACCGGTGACATGACACGTACATGCAGACAGCGACGCCGCCGTACAACGAGAGCTGCGTTGAGAGCGGCGTGAACAGCGAGCCGATGGCGCCGCCGCCAGAGCCGACGTAGGCCCAGTCGAAGGAGAGCGAGAACAGGCCGAGACCCTCATTACCCGCCGCACCACCGAAAATGCGGGTGAACCACGCGCTCTTCTGGTTCGCGAGACAGAAGATGGAGACACCGGTGAGAGTCCTGACCATGTCTCAGTCGTCAGCAGGACCCTGACTTTACGAAAGATGGCGTGACGTACGGGGCAATGTATTCGGGGATCCATTCCCACACAAAGATAACAAGACAGCTACGGAACCAGTAATCAGTCAACCCGCTTACTCGGAATTGGGGTTGGGAAACAAAAGGTGAAAACGCACGTGATCCAGAAGAAGGTCATGCGCTTCTTTTGGAGGATGGCCGACTTGCCGCGGTGCAGGGTGTCGAAGAGCTGAACGGTCGGCACGAGCATCGGGTAGATAGCGAAGGTCGGGTACACCAGGAAGACGCGCATAATGCCCGCGAGCCCGTACCCGAGGAGCTGTGAGGCGATGAGGCTGGGTCTCTCGTTAGTGGTGTGCTGCTGGACGATTGTAAGTTCAAACGCACGTGAAAATGCCGATCGCAACGTTGGGCCGGACGTTGTAATAGAGGTCCTGGGCGGCGAAAACGCTGATGGCCAATGCGGAGGAGGACGCCGTAGAAGCCTATTCCCTCGTGTCAGTAAAAGTTCAAAAGCTAGCTGATGAAAACGGATGTACCATGATCGTGATAGCGACATGCTCCTTGATATCTGACCTCACACTTAGCGTAATTCACCCATTAGAAACTGCACATACTGAAGGGGCCGGGGTTCAACCATCGCCAGAACCGGTTGTTCTTGGTCCTCAAACGCGCGTTCTCGAAAGGGCCAGGGACGACCTCTTCCATGAACTTGCCGATAATGTAGGCGAAAATCTATCGGGAACAGTGAGTACATGTGGCCGGTTGACTTGTAGGTAATGATTAACCTGCAAGAACAGCTGGCTGACATCGATGGTCTGTGGTCGGAAGTACTACGGTGGCACTCAGTGTGATGGTAGGTGCGAGCAGGGGAAGGATGCATACGAAAATCTGTCCAAGAATGGCACCGAAGCAGGATAGGCCAAGAGAGAGAAACCACATGCGAAACGTGAAGATGGGCATGGAGGGGTCGTCCTCGAGCGAGACCAGCCGGACGGCATAGTCGATGTCGGTCTCTGTATGATCGACAATCAGCAAAGCAGCACGCAGGAGACGTCAACGTCCTCACCAATCGGCCTTTCCTTGCCGTTCGTGCCCAGGTCAACCGCACGGACATTGTCGTAAACGTTGCCGACTTTGTCCGAGAGGGCGGCGGCCCTCAGGTCGACCAGCGGGGTGCTACCAGGCGCAAGCTCGATCTCATCGTCTTGGACAGAGAGCTTCTCGTCGATAATGGAGCCTTCTGAAGGCGCCTTCTTCTCGTGGAGCACGGGCATCGTCGAGATGGCAGCCATTGCTAGAGCTACTGCTGCAGGAATGGCAGAGCGGACAGACCAGCCTGGCAGAAGGTCGCATGACCAGCGGTGATGCTTTTATTGCGCATCACGGAGCGTCTTTGAGGCCAGTGAAGGTTTCTTGATCAGGCACCACGGTGAGTTCCTCCACATGGGTGTCGGCAGGTGATAAGGAACTTACGGGCCCAATAAGCTATCAATTTGCCGTAGCCTGCCGGCCGATTTGCAACAACAACTCTCTGCCGACGCCATTCGGTGCCTACACTGCCAGTCGAGGCTATCCGGAGATTGTGAACTGGCAGCTTCGAGACCGCAATCGCTCCGTCTTCTGACGAAGCCTCCTAGGATAGTTCTCGGTGTGAGTAGAACCAGTATACTGTACCGGCCGCGCTCGTTCCGGCGCAAAGATCCAGTCTGTCCACTTCGCCGTTATCGAACTGATGTTTCACGCGTTGTGAACATGGTGACCCAATTTGAGAAATCCAGTCGTCTGCTGATTAGATCTCTCTTGACAGATCATTCGAAGTTCGACAGAGAACGCTCCATCGGGCCTTATAGTACGGGGTGGAGTATGCAGCGACCCACGGCCCACATGGTCCACCTCAGTCAATTTCCCATAAGCGAACCTTGTGGCGCAAGCCTTGAGTTGATCGTTTGCCCTGCGAGCCACTAAACAGGAAAGCGCTGTGGTTCAACGCTGCCGCGTAAGCGTTTAAGCTGTCGACCGACCCCCTAATATCGAATTCCGTTAGCACTTTAGCCTCCGGTATCATTCTCACCCGCGGCATGTTGTCGGCAACACAGGTCATCAACTGCTAAAACCGCTTGGCACTGAGGTTTTGCATCCGATCTGCATGTGCATCATCCCGTTGCGAATCTATACCCACGAATGGCGCAAGCATGAATGTTGTCTGGGATAACAAAAGCAGTAGAACATACGCCGCTATCGAGCCACCACCGCCACAGGTTCAATATCAGCCGAGAATTTGTCCGTTCTGATCCAGAAACAGCACTGCAAGAAACACGCGGGCGGATCAGCTTGGCCATTTGACATATAGCATGTCATGCCTGTCTCTACCTGGCAGATCGCAAGAAGCTTGTCTTCGAGCAGAGCCTTCACCCTACTGTTGAAATGACCATGTCGGATCGACCTCGGGGTGGTAGCTTACCGTGGTCGCGGGGGTCGAAGTATAGCCGTACCCGGCCAGGGCGTGCCTACTTGGGAGTCACCCTGCAAAAACCCACGTGCCCCTTCGCGCTCGAAATCTCGGAGAGAGAAAAAGGGCACCGACGGCGGCCGATGATTCCACTGAACAGGAATAACACAGCGGTAGCCTGCGCATGCGCTCTAAAGACACGATACGCTCGCGGGCACTGTTAGAACCCGTCTTGCGGACCGAACGCAGCGAGTCTAACCGTCGCGATGTCTTAGGGAGCCGTAAGATTAAATTATACTGAGCAGCAACGAACACGAACCTGGCTCGACCGCCAGCAGCATCCGGTTTCTTCCGGGTCCGCAGCTATGATAGAATATCGCGATATATGCACATATTTCGGCGCAAGAAAGTAGCTCAGGCCCACGCTCAACACGCTCAACGTGAAAAGCACTGTAAATCGCGTGAGAGTAGTGATCGACATTGACGATCAACGTCCAGACCTCGGTGCCGCTCTCTCATACACAGCTGCACGGATGAGACTGTGGGGCTCAAGATCTGGCGGATTTTGTGATTCGGGGAATCGTGATCTTTGAGCGTTGGTTTTTGTCTGAGATTCGTCCGACCGAAATCATGATTCTGGCCAATGCGAAATACGCCCGATCCGAGATCTCCCCACCACAGTTTGGCGCCCACAGAGCCTCAGGCCTCAGAGCACACGTCCGTTCGAGTTGTATTCCGTACTTAGAAGTCCACATTGAACAGTAGGAGACTACATTAGAACACATGTATGATCTCAGCTCGGGTAGTAAGCTGCAATAGATGCCGGAATAACAGGCTACGGGCCGGAGAAAAACTCATCGTCAAGCTCGCTGGTACCTTCGCCCCTCATAGACAGGGCCGGAACGTTGTCGTCGTCGTCCTCAAGGAAAACACCACCTAGATTACCTTCAGGGAAATCCTTTTCGTCCTGAGCTATCATATCTTCTCGCCACCTATCCATCCAAGATGTCAGCAGTATATCAAAGTTATAACACCACGGGACACATACTTAACCCACCCGTCGCTCTCGTAGTTTGTACCAAGGTTCTTCTGATGATGAAGCTCCTTCATCTCAGCATTGACAGCCTTCCAAAACCCACTGTCAGCCCCACTCTGTCGTTCCGTCTTGGTAAGAGACGATGTGCTCGCACGTGCATCTGACTGGCTTTAGTGAAGAAGCGTACAGGCATCACGACGCTGGTAGTCCCATTTAAGGTGGTAAGGCACGGT